TCAACCCTGAGCCAGTGAGATTTGAACCGCTGACCTGCTGATCTAGCAGTAGCCTGCAGTGCTGCATTTAACCACTGCGCCACCTTGGCTCTCTCAACTCCTCAAATGACAGCAAAAGCTGAAAAAAGACCTCATTTCCTCTCCTAGATCATGGCATGGTTCTTCACCTTTCAGCACAATTCTAAAGTGTATCTAGATGTCATCCTGCAGGATTTATACTGTCAAAAATAGTGTTCATAACTTACCTGCACAGCATTTTGCCAAGTGCCTTAAAAAGTATTTGTCTGATTTAGTATGCAGAACCTCTGCTTCAGATACCACCTACAAAAGTGATCTCTGGTCCATATTCCCCAACCTATATTGGAAGAGATGTCCTTCTGGGTTCAGTTCCAAGTGGGGAAAAAGACACTGGAAACATGGAGGCTGCTTGAAAAGATGGTTTAATGGTGGACAAGATCACATGGCTTAAGCTCCTGAACGGAAAAGGGGGATCACATGCTTCCAGATGTTGGGTGAAGAAGAAAAAGTTCCTGGCTTTATACCCTCTCTGGCCTTTGATATTGAGCTTGTATTCTTATTGGTTGTCAGACTCTCATTGGACCATGCAGGGGCAACTCTCCAGGCTGTATTTTGAGTCCAAGTTTGGTTGAGCATTGCTGTGGTGAGGTGGGTAAAGGGCTAATACTATCATGCCTTAATTCCATCACCCTGGAGCTGAAGGGGGAGATCTTTATTATGTAGAATAAACTGGCTCAGGAATTTCAACCCATTGACAAAGGTGGGGGCTATTAAGAGTGAGTCGTTTCCTACCTAAAACATGTTTCTCCATTTTTTATCCAGGGAAATATAATATTCTGCCTTTTCAATATTTCCCAGGATATTTCATTTTTCTAGGAGAAGGGTGGGTTTTAACTTCCTATACCTAGTTAACATTTAGTGGCAAATTAGCTGAGTATTTGCTTCCAGAACACCAGCAGAATTTGATGTTTTTATATTGCTCTTTTTGTTCCTGGCAGCAAAGATCATGAAGTCAACTGCAAGCCTCCTGTGAACTCTTTGCTCCTTGATAGCCAAACAACCTAAAATACTGGCACTAAATATCTGAGCTGATGTCCTCTGCAGCCAGAATAGTATGAATTGCTTTTTTGTTACATTTGCTATTATTCACAGCCTCAGGTCTTTTTCCTATTTCAGGGTCAGTTGAATCTTGCTTTCCTTTCTTTAATACAGTGAAGATTTTCTTGCTCTACTTCCAATTTTAATGACTGCTGCAGTCGCAGCACTAAATCAGTGAATGAACTATCACATTCTTGAACTGCAATACTCTAAACAGTGAATCTACAAAAATGGCTATTTTTCCAGGCAACAACTGTCCCTCCCTCCCTCTGTAGAAAGAGCAATTGTTCTGAAGCTTTCACCCGAATTAAAAACAAAGCCTATAGCATCACTCCAATAACAAAACAACCACTAATATTTCATACTTTGTTTCTTACTATGGTAAGTCACAAATCAGGGATAGGCAACCTTATTAAAGCTGCAGCTGCTGTTTATGAGTTGTAAGGGGTGGTGTAAAATCATGAGATGACATGATTCCCTGTTTCCTATTGCTTAAAGGGATTATTTATATATTTGGACAATAAATATGATAAGCCTGGCATCTGTGGAAAAAATGATTTAATATATAGTCAGGGCAATGTGCAAAGTCCAAAGCACCTTTCCCAATTATTTTTGGAGTGTGCCTGAACTTAATCTTTTTTCTCTCACACACATACATGGATATTTTTATTATATTGAAACATTTATTTGCAACTATAGGTTTTAGCAAAATGCATATAAAATTAAAGCAATCCATATCTGTTCAAGGCATCCTGTGTAACATTAACAGAAGTCACCGGAAGGATTGAAGAATGCTATGAAATGTCATTCCTACCATAAATTCTGGTTTATATATTAGAGTTCAGGATTGTTCATATTAAGGTTAAACCAAAAAAACCCACATTCTTCTTTTACTATAATGTGTGAAATTTGTCTATGGTTGAGCACTCTTGTCAAAGCTGTCTCTGCTTTTACTACAGCATCTTTTTCATGGACCTGAGTGATCCATCATGCTCCTTAATACTCTTCTTGAAATCACTCCCACAGTTCTTACAATAGAGAAAAACACAGAAAGATCCTTAATGAACACCATAAATATACATTTTCAGCCTGATGTGTGTGATCTGATGCTAACATATCTTGAGCTCCAACCATTTACTCATACATGCTTGTTTATCATCTATTTCGGGACTCATCCACATGTCCTGTTTGCTCCAGTGTAAGGACAGCCCACTAACTATTTCTAAAGACCAGAGTATATGATGCTGTCTTCAACTTGCCTCAGTCCATCCTGAACAGAGGATCCATCTGAATGGTGTAAAGCTACTATATTTGGTTGCTGTTTACAAGTTCATCAGTGGACCCTGAAACTTGGACCTCTTTCTTTTTTAATTAGGTGAACTTGAAAAAGACCTGCCAATGTCCCTTTGTAACTCAAGTCAAAGAAAGAAAATAAAAGTGTTCCTTCCCCACCCCCACCAGTTCTGTGGTGGATGTGTTGGATATATAAGTATCAAGTACGAAGGGGAGTCAACAGAGAGGGCCACATATAAAAACCTCCTCAAAGAAAACCATAGAAAGAAAAGAAGTTGGTACTTATATCATAGTAACTTGCCATCTGAACAGAATACTTGGCCAGCATCTTTGACAAATGGAGAAAAGTTTTAAGAGCAATTTCTTAATTCATTTCCAGCTAGTTAATTTCATCTTTAATATTCATTTTCAGCGCAGAAGACAAATAGCTTAAGGTTGCTGTGCAGAAGAGCCCTTTGATCAAAAGAAGAGAACATGCATGTTTTTATGAACTGCAATTGTTTTTATTCCTACAGAACTGTTTAGCCAGGTTACCACAATACAGATGACCATTGGATGACCTTGGATGACCATTTACCAACAACAAATAGTCACAGATACTCTGTCAAATGGAGAGTCCTCTGTCCATATTTTCCTTCTGCTTCTGGGTAGAAGATGGTTACTTCCAAAAATCTAGTATTTCCAGGACCAAAAATTAATACATTAAAAGGCACACTGCAGTGATCAGGCTTCATGGCATTACAGCTGAAGTTCTTTCTGTATTATTGGCTGTATGTGTGCATCCTGCTTGGCCACTGAATTATAAACTAATACAGGAGCACGGTTCACACAATACTCCAAACTAAGTTGTCCCATCTGTCTTGAACTTCCCTTATTTATTCTTTAACTCCAAATGCAAACTCTTGGGGAATTTGCATGCTCCAGGTCTTTCTTCCACTAGAGTGGGAGAATCTAACAAAAAAATTAACAAAAAGATTCAGGTCTTTCTTTTTGACTCTTCTGAGTTGGGACTCCCTCTGACCTTATTTATTCCCTGGATGGGCAGGAGATTGGATATTTCTCTCCATAATTTCTTAAGCAAGCAAATAGGGAGCTGCATCATAAAAGCAGATTACACCCTTCTATAATTTCCAGCTAGTTAATTTTTATAATTCCAGTATTTTTATTATGCAAAAGAAATTGCTGGCGAAAGAGGCTCTGGTTTGCAAATGGGTTGTGGCGGGAGGTGTGCGGTGTGGGTGGTTGACTTTGAAGAAAATTAGGGAAACCCAAAAGGAAAGCGCTCTCTTCTAGATCCCGGGAAATGGTTCCGTGGCGAATTTCTCGATTCGCGGAGGGGAAGGGAAGACCCCAGATTGCTATTAAATCCCCCCGCCCCCATTTTGCATCGCAAGGCAACAGCCAAGCCCTTTCCCTCCGCTGCCTTCTTGGACGCTGCGAAGCGTCTTCATCCGGGGTCTTTCCGCCCTCCCCTCACCTGCGGGCCCTTGACTACCAAAGCGCGCTGGCGGGGTTCGCCCTGGACCGGAGTCTTCGCGTGGCCGTCTGGAAAGGCGACCTTCGCTCCAGGCGGGAGAACGTTGGAACGTGGGGCCGATTCTCGAGTTGCGCGGGAAAGGAACGGAAAGAAAACCCAAGCCGAAAAAAAATCTCCCCAACTTTTTCTACCGTAGCTAGACACTCTCGGTTTAACCCCTGCAGACCAAAGGTGGAATACAAGCAAACGGGAGCAATTGACCTGTCTGCTAGTGTGTTAAAAGTGAACCAGCGCGGTCAGCTGCTTAGACGCGGGAAAACTTTTCTTTTTGAATCTTGGCTCAGGCATGAAATTAAGTGAATAACCTTGGACGAGGGAAGGCACGAAACAGACGCCTGGCCAAATCCGTCCTGCTATTTGAAAGCGAATAAATTCTGTTGCTATAGAGAAGAACCATCGCTTTCCCCGTGCATTGCTGCAGCGCTTGTTACTATTTACTTTTACTGGATTTTTTTTTTTTTTGCTTAGTGAGACGGATGGATTGTTCTATTCTCACTTTTCTCATGGGAGTATTCAAAATGTTTATCTCAATTTTTTATTTAAAAACATTCTAGTTTTTGAAGTTACTCTGTTAAAATTTCTTAACGAATACTAGAACCTCCTTAAAAATATTGGAAAGACTGTAATGTGCTTAAAATGTAATTTTAACCACACACAACTTTATGCGTTTGGTGGTGCTTGAACAAAATCC